CTGTCACATCATGTTGGGAGCCCAGACTGCCAGGTGTGTTCTCCATGCTACCCGTCCTGGGTGCCCGTCTCCGGCCAGGCACTTGAGCATGGTGGGCAAAGCAGCACCTGCCCTCACCATACCCATGGTCTGAAGTGGGGAAGGACAATGACAGCACTGTCTGTGACACTAAGAAGTGCCCACTGTCACCCTCTCTGCCCCGCCGCTGGCCTGGCCATTGTGTACTTAATACCAAGAGCAGGTGTCCTGCTGGCCCCTCACATGAATCCAAGTTGAACTCTGCTGCTGGTCATTATGTCCACTGCGCAGGCAGGGAATTTGAAGCTACCTTAACTTCCGGTCAGGATCTGTCCTGAGCCACACAGCCAGTGAATGGCAGAGCCAGGATTCTGGGGTCCAAATCAAGTAAGAGCCGGGCCCCAGCTGTTACAAGGCAGAGCTGAATCCTGGGCTGTGGATCCTGGGCTGTGGGTGCAGTAGGGGCTCAGCAGAGGAGGACGAATCGAGGACGACTTCCTGGCGGAGCTGGGGCTTAAGACAGTGATGCTCTCCTTACTGGAGAATGCAGATGAAGCCATAAAGCGTGTTTAAGTGCACGAGAAGGTTCTGGCATCTGACATGCACGTTCAATCCCGATTCTGCTTCCTGCTGGCTGTGTGACCTTGTGCTGGGGACTTAACTTCTCTGAGTTTCAGGTTTTTCATCTGCAAAGGTGCACAGAATACATAGTGCGGACACCTAGTAAATGTTAGGAGCCTGTTCAGCTAGCTGGAGCAGTCAGAGCTGGTGATCAGGTGCAGTAATACTGACAGTCACTGGTTCTGGACCCAGGCCACGAGCCTGGCCTCGGGGCACTCTGCAGATTCAGCATGATCTGCTCCGTGAAGTGCTGCTCTGGGCTTAGGAGGGAGTGTGAGACTCACTCTGCAGGTCTTGTGATTCTCCTGTCCTCCCGAGGTTCCTCCAACTTGAATTGTTTCGTGCCCAGAGCAGTGGACACTCTTTTTTTCAGCCTTCGGGGTTAGAGGACTCCCTGGCATCAGTGCTCTTTTCTTTGGTCCTTTCCACATGCATACAGAGAAAAGTTTTGATAAACCCCAGACTACCTAGAGCAGAGTCCCGGCCACCTCACCTCCCCGAGCTCAGGCCTCCAGGCGGAGTGCCGACAGCCTTGGTCAGCAAAGACGCCTGCGCTGCGGTATTTTGTTTCAGAGCCTTGCTCAGCACAGGCTTGGGGGTGAGCACTGTTTGTCACAGAGTGGGTGGAAGTCGGGGACAGGCCAGGGACCCGGATAAGGATGTGGCTGGGGAAGTTGCACCACTTTGCTGCAAAAACAGTTGCATCTGTGTGGTTCACCTGATTCAGAGATGCCTCGGCTGCCGACAAAGGGCAATCATCAGATTAAAATGCTGTATTCCGTTCTGCTCACCTGCAGCTTACACGTGCCAAAGGTGAGGGAGGGGGTCTCACCTCCACCCTGACAGTACCCCACAGAAGATCTGGACTGTTACTATGCAAAGCCCTCTATCCCGTGCTGCTGGCTGCCCAAACCCTCCCCTGCATCCATCCGGCACACGTGCTCGGGCTGCCCTCCTAGGATTAATTAAAAGGACAAGCATCTTTTCTAGAAGAGCAAAGATAAAACTTCTAATGAATTTAAAGAGAGAAAAAAAGCCTCATTTAAACAACATGTTTTTTCCCATGATCCCAACCCGAGCAGGCCAGAAAGTGCAAAAGCATGCATAATGGAGAAGCTTTTGAGACCAGCGACTTTTAGCTTAATTGATTGTGATGATCAGACAGGGTGGCCCCTCACCTTGCTCAGCAGTGACCCTGGAGCCTGGGTCTCTGCCACGGCAGGGACAGGTGGTGCTGTACCTTGTTAGGGAGGCAGGAGAGAGCGAGCGAGGGGGGCACCTGCTGAGGGCACTGTGCCTTCGGTTTCTAGACCTTCCTTTGATCTGGGAGGCCCAAAGAATGTTCAGTGATAGGTAGAGGAAGAGGGAGGTCACTCTCATATTTTATTCCTGTCACTGTATGGAGACTGGTAATTGGGAGCCTTAGCTCTGTCTGACAGCCGGAAAGACGGAACTGACTCCCAGAGCTAAGGCTCCTGCCCTCCAGCCCTTTTTAGGGGGTAGGAGAGGACCTGATCCTTGGAGCCAGGGAGGAGGCACAGCCCCACTGTGAACCAGCTCAGCTGAGCCAGGCTTTCTGGCCTTCCCCTCAGCCAGCTACCAACAAAGGCAAACAGCAGCCTCGCAATGCACAGACCGGTTACAAGGGAAGCTATGATTTAGGAGCTCAGCACCCCCAGCCTCAAAAACTTATCAATGCAAGTCACTTCTGCAAGGAAAAAAACCCCCCAAATCTACCGTACTTTTAGTAGGGGAGTTGAGTGTGCATCCTCAGGCTACAGGGCTGGAATTGACACCTGAAAGAACCCACCCTGCTTTGCACTCAAGGGTGCTGGCAAAAATAGAGACCAGAAAACACCATTTCAAAGTCTGAACCACTGCTCATCTGTCAGTTCCTGTTTTTAAAATTAAGTCTGGAATGTTGTGGCTGAGACGTGTGAGGTATAACTTTCTGGGTTTTAGTGAGATTTCTTTAATGCCCATCGATTTCTGGGTAATAAGTTATACCTGTATGTCTCATTTCAGTTACCTATTTAAAATTTGCTGAACCATAAATCTATTCCTACAGCCATGGGAATTTAGTTTACACTAGCGAGGACTTTGAAACCCCATTGATCCCCGGGTGCTCCGAGTGGCTGCGTGTCAAGCCTTTATAGCTGGGTTAACTCATTTTGCGGCTATGAGTTTACATTTTATTGCATATCTATTACTTGGGTTGGGCTGTGATGAACGGTTTGGCTGCTTGGTTCAAAACAAGTCCAAGGTGACAGCAGATTCTAATTTGCTTTAAAAATGATGATTATAAAGATTTGCAACAAATAATCCAGGAATAAAGGGAGCAGACCATACTACCCTGTGTGAGACATAGGGCTGGGGGTGAGGTATTGATATATCCCTTTTTCAGGGTAGCTCATGTTTGTGATGACCATTAGGAGAGCCAGGGGGGCCTTTTCTGTCATAGTAGACAGTGGGGGGATTATCATTTCTTGGAGAATAAAGCCAAGAGCTTGCTGGGTTGTCCAAGCTCATTCACGGGAATCAGGTCCACAGAGTAGAGGCCGCTGCAGGCTCAGGTACGAGCTGTGTCCAAGCTGTGCCATGCTCTGCTTAATGATGCTGGTGTACTGCCTAAAGCCAGCTGGGCCTCGGCCCTAATACGTACTGATTTCCCTCACTGCTCCTTCGGCAGTGGGGGCTGAACCTGGAAAGCATTTCTGGGAATGCAGCATCCCCAGAGAACCCGCCACTTCTTCTCTTCTGGCTTGGAGAGCTGCACTTGTAGTCTGCCTTAACTCATCTAGTCCTGTCCGTGTTCTACAAGATTAGGATCATCCAGGGATCTCAGTTTGGGGAGGTGGATAAAGAGATCTGTGCAGGAAGCAGACGGAGATGACAGGAGGGTGGGTCCATTTAGGGAAAGCCAAGTCGATGCTCCACGCCTGGATCTCTAGACAAGAAAAGAACACTCCCAGCTCTGGGTAGCATTTGTGGGTGTAGATTTCTGTGGAGTAAAAATTCCTACCATGATTTAAAGCTACCAGCTATTCAACTGTTTGCTTGCAAAATTCCTGCTAAGTGAGCCGTCAGCTCTCTTGAGCCGGGTTTGTGAATTGCTGATACTTCTAAGCCCTAAACATTAGAGATTTATTTATGAGCTCCTAGGTACACAAAGCAGGCATCTCCCATGGCAGGATAAATCAGTCATTTACACCTCTCTATGAACAAGTATAATCAGATAAGAGTTTTACTAATGGGCAGGAGGAGGAGATGAGGGGGAAGAGCAGGAGGAGGAGGAGGAGGAAGAGGATGAAGACCAAACATAGCCACAGTGTGTCAAGCAGTACCAAGTGGTCTTCAGTACCAAGGATGCTATGAACTGGGAAGGTCTCCACCCCACCCCATCGGGCATATGAGCACTGCCCCTGGGGACGCAGCTACCTCATGTCGCCCAGGTACCTCTGCTGTTTGCCACAATAGCCCGCCTTGCCAGTGCAACACGAGAGCTCCGCAGCCCTGTGGGTGTCAGCATAGCAGCTCAGGGAAAGGACGGCTGTGAACGGAGCAGGAGACTCCAGCTAAGAGCGGGGCTGAGGGCGGTTCACGGGTTCTGAGGTGCCTGGGGGCGGTCACCCTCACTTCCCCAGGCCACAGCCTGCAGTCAGAGCTTTGAATGCACACGGCACGAAAAGCACACATGTGGCCTGCTCAGGAATGAAAAGCCTTTACCTTCTTGGGCACAAATGTCCCCCGTGGCTGCAGTTCGGGCCCAGCAGTGTCCTCCCCTCTCCTGCTGCTGTCCTCTGGGTGCTGCTCTTACCCCTCGGTTGTGACTAACCTGATGTGGTCGCCTGGAAGTTCCCCTTGGGGAAGCCTCCAGGTCCTGGAGACACCTGGTCACCGAGTCACACGCACCATGGCCCTCAGGCCCTGCTCCACATTCTCACGGGCACCTGCCTCCTGAGTTTCTGGCCTCTCCCTCCTCTCTTCAGCTTGGGGGTCCCTCTCTCTGTTGTCCTTGGTTGATGGCTACTCCCCACCCCTGCCTGGCCAGGCTCTAGCAGGGTTCTCCTTGGGCAGGAGTTGCAGGGGTGTCAAGGCCTCTAACAGCGACACTTTGACACTTCGACCACAGGCCTGAGTCCCTTGACAAGTGAAAAAACCTCTATCCAAAGGGAACAGGGCGACGGCCTTCCATGTCCTTTTCAGGTTTGTTGCAAAACAAATGCAACTGCTTTCCCTTCTAAAATCAAGCCAGCCGGGAGATCACTCAGGACAGACCCCAGGCCCAAGCCCACTGCGGCACAGGGATGTCAACGGAAACAAGCCCCGTGCCCCAGCACCTCTGCTCCGCCTCAACTTACGGAAAGCCGTGTAGAACTCGCGCAGGGTCAGGGAGCTGTCGCTGTTGTAGTCGTCAAATCGGAGGAGGTCACCTGGCGAGCACCCCAGCAAGTCCCCGTCCAGGTCCTGCTTCTTCAGCTCGTGCTGTGGGTGAGGAGGGACAAGGCCGGAGCCACGTGTGAATTCAGGGGCACGGGTGTGGCTAAGCAATGACTCAGGCTGCGAGGGGGCTCAGGGGAGCACCCGAAGCTCCTTCGTTTAGTTTTATCTGCTCCCCTCACTTTATAGATAGGGAAACTGAGGCTCAGAGAGGGAAGTGACTTCCCTAAGCTCACACTGTGGTTGGGGTAGAGTCTGGAACACAGCTGGGGTCTGTCCTGTCCCCACCTGTAATCTAGGGAGGGGAGGCTCCTAGGCCGCCTGGTCTACCCCTTTGTAATGCTGATGGGGAAAGAAAGAGAAGGGTCCTCAATCACATGAGCCCTGCAATTGAACTTGACCTCAGCATGTGCACCAAGGTCCCCTAGCAACCCTGGTCAGAGCTGGAGGTCATAGCTCTGTCTCTGTATTCACCTTTCATCAGCCTGTGCCCTGGTCCACCACCAGGAAGGGCGGCTGCACTCCAGTGACCAGGCCTGAGCTCTACCCCTGCCTGCCGCAGCTGCCAGGACTGCAAATATCCACCCTTGGGATTCTGGCACAGGGGCCTCTAGGGACCCTCTCTGGGTGGCAAGACAGAGGGTGCCCCAGCATGGCCAGCCACAGGCCAAAGGGTAACTGGGTGGGAAGTCCAGGCACGTTTGCTCAGCTGGAGCTGGAGGCCAGAGTTCTAGATACCAGAGGTCTGGCATGGAAAATGCTCAGAAGGAAATTTCAGAAGAGAGGGAGTGATTTGATTTTATTTTGGCCGGGAGAGAAGGACAGAGGCATTTTTCCCTTTGTTTAACATTTTCAGTCTGGCCTGCTATGTTAAAGGGAGTTTAATGTAATAATGTTAAAAAAATGACCCCTCACCCAGCAAGTGCAAGCGTTCGATAAAAGGGAGCTCAACCATAGCACCTGAGATCAATCTTCCAAAGATGGAAATTTTCCTTTGTCTATTTCTGCATTGGAAATTGATTAACTTTGCGTAGGACCGATGAGTTTTTCCTCTGATGCCTTTGATTGGGTGTCAAGGAAAGGCCCGTGTTAGCTGGGTTCTGCTTGGCAGATTTATGAAATGGACTTTAAATATATGAAATATTAAAGAGGAAATCATAGTCCAATTACCATGCTTGTTAATGGCTTCGGGTGCCTTGGGCTATGTCTCTCCTCGGTTCAAGCAAGGAATCCAACAAGGTTCCATGTCTCAGGCAGCCACCGAGGAGCCGCAAGGGTGTGGCTGCAACAGCTCACAGCTGCCTCTGTCCGGGCCAAGCTGCTGCCACCGGGCCTTGGTGCTCCGCCAGGTTGTTCCTCCTGCAGGGAGCCAGGACTAATGGGACCTGGGCTTTCCCAGGGCAGCTTGGGTCACCTGAGGGTCCCTGGCTTGCCCCTTGGGGCTTAGCTACAGCTGGGGACCAGGTGCTAAGGGAGATGGCGACATGCTGATTCCCGAGGGAGTGGGCGGCAGGCCTCTTGGGATGTAAGGGTTTGCACTGTGGCTCAGGTGTGGGCGAGCAGAGGGGGTTCCAGATGCACTCCCTGAAGTAAATGTGAGTCTGCTGGAGCAGAGGTCCTCATAGAAAGGAGTGTGCACACTAGAACTTCAGACGATGGCCTCTTATTCAGGATTTGTGGTTGTCCTTGGAGGGATAGTGGGAGCCTTGGGTGGGAGGCCTTTCAGTGGGCACAGCAATCTGCCCACCCAGGTTCCTTGGTGTTCCAGCCAGTGGGCATGGCTTGGGCAAGTTATTTGCTTTCTTAGAGCCTCAGTTTCCCCATCTAAAAACACTTGTGAAGCAGGCTGACAGCAGTCCCTCCCTTATGGCAGAGGATGGCTGAGAGGTTAAGCAGGCAGTAATAATGACAAAGCTGGTGATGACCACAAGCACAATGACTACCATCATCTATCGGGAACAAGCCAAGGGCCAGGTGCCACCGGTGACACTTTACACACCTTGGCCTCTTCAGCCTTCTTCTGACCCTGTGGGGCTTACAGTCAAGGAACCAAGGCCTGGGGGCTAAGGCCCAGGATCCGCTGGCTTGGAGACACAGGGGCAGCACTTAATCTCAGCTGGTTCTTCTCTGAAGCCTGCATTCTTAGCCACTACCCAGCATAACGAAGAACTGGTCTGTGTATAAGCGAAGGAGCTGGCCAAGGAACCCTGTCCCCAGCCCTTCCGAGTGACCTGGCCACTGCCTGGAGAGGTCACTCTGTCATAGTTAAGAATTCTTTCAACTGGCCTCAGAGGTGGGAACTTGTATTGTTACTTTCCTCTGGATGACCCTCTGCAGTCTCCAGGGAAGACCTGGGGATGCTGACTCCCCTTTGTCACACACTTTTATACCTGGCCCCAGGGTGCCAGGCTCTTAGCACCAGACAGGCAGAGCAGGAACAGCAATGCGGGCCCTCCAGCCCACGCCAGACCTTCTGCCACAGGGACTCTGCACGCAGCCGGAAGTGGCTCTGGCCCTGGAAATTGATGTTGATCTTCTTTTGCTTTTTGTGCTACAAATATTAACTACCCTCGCATCACCTTGCAGCCGAACCAAGGGATGTGGGTGCTGTACTCAAACCCACAGCCTTTGGGGAGGGAAGCGAGCCAAGATTTCAATGCAAGTGTTTCTGCAGACCAATGATTCTGGGGATAATCACAGGACTTCCCGCAAGCCAGCAGGCTGGGGTCTGGCTTGCTGATATTTGGGTGCCAAAGAACAGTACTGTCACCGGGCAGGGGACTTAGGGAGCCCCAGGTTGAAGCTCCAAGGGTGCTTTCTGAAAACTAAGTGCTGCTTCCCCTTGATCTTCATATTGAGGACAGCAAGGGACTCCCAGAAGACAAGATTGGTTTCCTAATTAAAACATCAGTCACCAGGCCCGGCCACCATCGAGGGTTTTGTTGGATAGCCACAAGGGTATCACAGCTTGTGTGAACACAGCGGCTGAAGCTGCCGATGGGAAGTGACTGATGTCATCTGTCTGTGGGGTGTTCTCTGAGGTACTGAACCCTAGGAGGGTGGGAGAAGGGCCTCTTGGGTGCACGGCGACAGAGACAGTTACAAACTGTCCTCATCAGTCACTCAGTGTCTCTTCAACAAATAGAAAGCCAAGTCCTTCCAAAACTCGGCTTCTGTGGAATGCTGCACCCACCTGAGCCAGTTCAGAGCTGGTGAGGCGGCCATTTCCATCTGTGTCCAAGTCCTTAAACAGAGACTCCACCAGGAGGCGCTTCTGGGCGGCAGGGTCGGGCCTGTGGTCGCCTCCTTGGAGGGGCTGCCGGCCGATCTGGATGGCCAGGAGGACATTCTTGAGGCGGGCATAGCCGGCCATGGTGCACGTGTTACCTGGAAAAGAAGATGGGGCGTTACAGCGAGATGCCCATGGGTCCCCCCATCCATCTCACCCATGAGGGGTCACAGAGGGTCCCAGCGCAGGGAATGGTACAACTGTCACAGATGGGACTTATTTGTCCGTCTGCTCCGCTGATCCATCCCACAAGCATTTATCGGGCGCCTACTGCAAGCCAGGTGCCCAGAGATTGCCAGACAGGAGAAATTCTCTGGGCAGCACAGACAGCGGTAGCCCCACAGCGGCTCTAGGAAAGCCGGCCCCAATTCCAGTTTGTGATTGCTTGTTTTTGTCTTAATCCTACCTTAAAGGCTGCTTTTGAGTTCTTGGCCTCATAGATTAAAGAGTGTTTGTTAACAGGACTAATAAGCCGGGCTTAAGGTAATTAGGGATGCTTCTGGAACGGGATTACTTCTGAACAAACGTGTACGCAAGTCCATGACCAAGAAGCACAAGGCTGCTTTATGACACGGAAGCCAGAGGGAGCAGCCTGTTACTGTGAGGCCTTTCATCCCACATGTGCCCGCCAAACGGTGTCGGAACAGCATGGTGCTTCACAAATGAGGCTTGTGATGCCCTGTGACACGACGCAGTTTATCCTGCTGGCTACGGCCTGCTGGTCTCAACACCACACAGGGCACAGCCTAGAGACTGGGCTGCAGAGTCCTCACAGAGCAGCGGGCTCTGCCTGCACCGGGCTCTGGTGGACCCCAGAGGGTGGGTGTGGGCACCTCACGCTCCCTTCCGGGGTGAAGCCAGTGGGTGCTGGGAACAAACTATCCAGGGCCTGAGCCTCTTCTTTATTCTAAGGCCAGTTTAAGGTGACAGCTCAGGGCTGGAGGGTCCGAAGACAGCAGTGCTGGAGAACACAGAGGCTGATGTCCACTAGATTTGTGCTCCAGCTCTGCTGGCACTGGGCTGTGTGTACCTGGGACAAGAGGCCTCAGTGATTTTATCTGAGAAGTGGGGGCAGTAGCGTACTGGGTTGTTATGGAGATTAACTAAGATGGGGTCACCACAGGCTCTGCGCTAGTTTGGCACTGAGCTCATGATAATAGCTGCTGCCCCCCTCTCTGTCCCCAGAACCACATCAGCTGATGGGGCAGCTCCTTGGTGGAGAGGGATGATAGGCATGTCTGTGGTCTGTTATTCTCCTCCCTCTCTCATTGGATAAGCCAGGGTGGCCCGAATGTGTTCCTTCTTGCTTGTTTGTATTTCTAGATTTTCTTCCAATTTGGGGTTAATTGATTCCCATCAGAAACAAATGCCTGTTACCATTTCCTCCTGCATGTTTACTTAGGGAAAAAAATCAATTGCTGTGAGTTCGATATCATTAAATCTATTTGCTCTCTGGGAGTCTCCCATGCTGACAAGAATGGTTTGCTCCCCTTTCCCTGAGCCTGTCTGTCTCTTCTGCCCTGCGGGACATGGACTGTGGGCCACAGACTGCACACCCAGTTAGTTCTCAGGTCTGTGTGAGTTTGCAGTGCTAAACATGGGCATCTGGCCCTGCTGCAAAGTCACTTGACCCAGGGGAAGATGCACCTGGTCCCTCTGTGCACTGGCTTGCAGTAGGTGCTCGGTAAATGCTTGTGGGATGGTCCCGTCAGGGATCCTGCTGGGATGGAGTTGGGGTGCGGTGGCCCCTTCCTCCGGCTCTGGCCTCCTGTTGCATCCTCAGGTTCACTGTGAGCTCACAGGCTTCCAGCTTATCCACCCCACCAGTACTACGTGTCTTAAAGCCAACCAGAGGCTGGGGTGGGGGTGCCTCGTCTCTAGGATCTGGGCTCCGACTAGGCCAGGCCCCTCCATCCTCTCCTACCTCCATCTGCTGACACACCCTGTGCCCAGTGCCGGGCAGCAGGCTAAAGACAGGACGGTGCATCTGGTGCTGGTGTCACAGGTGCCCGCAGAGGCAGGGCTAAGGAGGCCAGGGTCAGGGAAGCCCACCAGGGGGAGGGCAGAAGAAGCAGTGCGGTGCGGCGAGAGGGCACCAGGAGGGGGCAGTGTGGAACAAGGAGTAGTGGGGAGGGCCGTGGAGGCGGCTGGCACCCCACCTCCTCCCCACACCCCAGGCCCTGGGCAAATGTGCCAGCCAGGGCAGAAGGCCAGGCCTGCAGCTCTCGGAGCCAACTTCCTGTGTCCTTTCCCTGGCTCCATCCCTTTTTCTCTCTTCTATTTCCTTCCTTCTCATTCTTTTCCTCTCTCTCTCTCTCTCTCTCTCTCTCTCTCTCTCTCTCTCTCCCTCTCTCCCTCTCTCCCTCTCTCCCTCTCCCTCTTCCTCCCTCCCTCCTTCCCTCCCATGAAACCCACAGCCAGCCTCCATAATGCTCAGCAAGTGCTGGACCACTGACTTACATACATCCCCAGGTGTCTTAAGTTTTGTTTTAAATTTTGAGACAGAGCCTCGGTAAAATGCCTGGCCTGGCCTCGAACTTGAAAGTCCCCTTCAAGAGGGCCCCCTCCTGGTGCCCTCTCGCCGCTCCGCACTGCTTCTTCTGCCCTCCCCCTGGTGGGCTTCCCTGACCCTGGCCTCCTTAGCCCTCCCTCTGCGGGCACCTGTGACACCAGCACCAGATGCACCGCGTGTCTTTAGCCTGCTGCCCGGCATTGGGCACAGGGTGTGTCAGCAGATGGAGGTAGGAGAGGATGGAGGGGCCTGGCCTAGTCCGAGCCCAGATCCTAGAGACGAGGCACCCCCACCCCAGCCTCTGGTTGGCTTTAAGACACGTAGTACTGGTGGGGTGGATAAGCTGGAAGCCTGTGAGCTCACAGTGAACCTGAGTCCCCCGAGTGGCTGGGGGCCCAGGGTGGTTGTCTTCTTCTTTATTGAGGTCTTATGGAGGAGTTCCTGGAAGGGGATCTGAAAGCTTCCAGATAGGAAGAAAACTTCGCCTACACACAAACCGCCACGTGATCTGCTCGGTTTTACTGAGCTCCTTTAGTGCTCATGGTGCTGCCAGAACACTGGCTGGCACTTCTGGGTCTGTGGCAATGGCTTTTGGAGCCTCAAGTCCGGCCTCCTTCCTTGAGAAGCCCTTGGGTGCTTCTCACCACAGGGCTGCCCTCTGGGGGTCTCCCCACCCTTACTGCCTGCCTCTGTCACCCTAACCCTAACCCGAATCTCACAGAGCTGGTGGCTCCTGGGAGAGAATCTTTCAGAGGCAGAGAGGAAGCCCCGGAGGCAGCTTTCCTTCCACTGGCAGGACATGCCAGGATGGCATCTTCCTAGGGAAGAGTTCAGCCAGTCCTCCAGTGTGGGGGGCAGCACCCCGGGCCCTGTGCATGCTGGGCAAGCCCCTCCCACTAAGCTGTGCCCCAGCCTTCCGGTTTAAGGTTCTCTCTTGATGCCCCTACTTTCCCTGTGGGGTCAGGCAGGAGTGGCTCATCCACACTGACCACTGGGCCCCTGGGAGCCTTCCACACCTGGTCTTCTCTCACAAAGCACTGATGAGCACGGAGAAAGAGAAATCAATCTATCACCCATCGTCCGGCTCCAGGGTTAACACACCTCAGGGCAGAGGGGTCATGGTGCTCTGGAGTCGCCCGACCTGCTACTGCCTTCTTGCCCTTCTCAGGTCCCACTCAATGTGGGCAAGACAGTATCAACATCCGGGTCTCTCCAGGGGTCACCCCTGCCCAACCACCCACCCAGCAGCTCATGCAAGTCACCGAAAGAGGTGGGGTGTGGAAGGAGGAGCCCTCAGCAGCAATGCCCCCGGAGCACCCTCTGGCCTCAGCCTCTGCACTGACCAACCCTTTCCTTATCTGCAGTGCTCTCTACCATGTGGCCACGTAGCTCACACTCTCCCTTCTAGGCCACTGCTTTGTCACATGGTCTGCACTAGAAACCCCCAGCTCCATCGGGCTCTGTGGCTTGACCCTGATGGAGAGACCGGTTGCATGGAGGAGGGGTCTGGTCTCTCTGGACAAGGGTAGGTCTGTGTTAGCCTTGGTTTCAGGGCACTTGGTTTCTGCAGGAGGAGGTACGTGGCTGGTCCGTGGCTGGTGCCCCAGGGGTATTGAGTGACTTGGGAAACCCTGAGAGCAGGTCTCTGAGCTGGTGTCCACTTCCCATTGCCCGGGCCTCTGTGGCCCAGCCTGGGGTGACAGACTCGGAATGCAGTGCATCTGGTGTCCCTAACATGGATTCTGAGGAGGTGTGGCTTTTCCAGGGAGAAGGCAGATAACTCATTAGGAGCGGAAGTCTACACCTGGGATGTGACTCACCCAGCAGGACTGACACAGGTTGTATTCCAGAGCTGTCGTACTTAGTTCTGGGAGGTGACCGAGTACCAAAACTAACAAGTACCAAACACGTTATTTGGCCGGAAAGGATCACAAATCCTAGGCCACCAAATGTGAGGAGGCCTGCCTGGTGTGTTGAGTACCGAGCAGAGGACAGGCCCTGGGACGGCATTTTCCCTTCAAAGTGCATCGAGAACAGTCCCAAAGCTGTCAAGTCCCAAGGTGCGACTGTACTCACACGCTCAGAAAGCCATCTGAGCGTGTCCTCCGCGTGCTGGTGGTGTCCAAGTAAAGGGGGCTTTGTGTTGTTAAAATAAGGAGATGTTTCTTCCTTATGCCTCTCTGGGGACCTGGGCGAGGTGTGGGCTCGTGACCAGGCTTGGAGGACTCCAAGGAAGCCCCTGTGCACCCACAGCTCTCTTTCTCCTTCTCCTCTTTCCCTCCCTTTGGGTCCACTCTGCCTGTGGTCAGGAGTCCTGTCCATGCATGCTGCCCAGCCCCACCCACCCAGTCCAGAGTGTCTTAGATACTGCCCACCTCCCTCTCAGACATCCCTAACTGGGAACCTCGAGGGTATGTGGGGAGATGATCCCAAGAGGTGCTGGAAGGCACAAGAAGAGCGATCAGAAAGGGAGAAAGGTCACTAAAGGGCAGGGCACCGGAAGGCACCAGGGCTCAGGCCTCCAGAAGGGTACAGAACACCTCTTGGAAGTGAGCCACTGTGATGCCAGGGAGTGGGGGTGTTTTT